AGAATAGAGGAGGGGGTCTGCCACAAGGCTTTGGCAATCTTGGCTACCACCTCATGTAGGGGTCAGGCCAATCTGGTGGGCCCACCTACCACAGGACTCCAAACAGTGAGTCCAAGGTCTCCTGAATCTCTTCTGCCTGAAGGCTCAAGCCGTTTGACATCCTCAAGAGGTCATGGTGGGCTTTCATATCATCCAGTGGCACCACCGGGGAGAAGCCTCTATGGCCTTGTCTCGAGAGGAGGTTGGAGCTGGCTGGTCACCTGCCCCATCAATCAACTGGGAGGAGGCTCGTGCCACAGTCTCTCCTGGTCACCCACTAGGAGCTGGGGGCACTGAGAGGGTCTTTGATGATCTGGTCATCAAAGGTTGGCTAGGGTTGCATCGGGAAACCCCAGACATTCCATGAGCAACATTGAGCCTGCCATTGAGACCGCAGACCTGGTGCTCCCTGTGACAGAACTGGTGGTAAGGAATACAACAGTACCAAGAGTTGTGTGGAGACCAGCGCGATGGAATCTGAGTCCAACGTGACGCCGCAGGATCGGATGCTGCTGAACACTCAGGGTGAGGAACTTGAGGCAACTTCCCCTTACTGTGACTCCATGACTGACAGAGACCTCGGTAACTGGGAGAACCTTGCATCCCTTCAAGGGCTGTGGTGTTCAGAGGATCTACCCCTCATGCACGGGATCGGTGTCGAGAAGGGGCGCTTCAGTGCTGTGAGGGAGATCAGGACCGACAGGACATACTACCCCGGCTAGAATAGCTCAGTGCCAGTGAGAAGCGTTGGTGCAGTGAGCAGTGCTGTGGGGATGGAGACACATTCCTGGGTTCACAAAGTGAGCAAGGAGATTGACTCTCCCTTCAGTGCTGCTGATGCCAGGTGGCATGTATCTCCACAGGTCTGTGCACTGACTCCAGTGACGTGGGAGACTTGGCGTCCTGCCCAGGTTTCTCGCTCACAGGTGCTTCGAGGTGCTCTCCCCTCTGACTAGGAGGAGAGCGGGACCTGACTGTACTCAGCAACCAAGGGTCTAATGGTGGCTTCCCTCTATGCTGAGGTGAAGGTATGTCCTGGGCAGCCTGGAAGGCCTCCAGTGTGGAGGGAAGATCAACCTCCAACATCAGGGACAGCGACCATGTAGGCGAGCTTGGTGTTGCCTAGGCCTTCTCCTGCTGCCTATCAGCCAACTGTTCCTTAAGAGCGGACTTGTCTCTGCCTGAATTCCTAGGGCACTTTGCTGGAGCTGGTGATGGCAAACGGTGCAAGCTATGGATAACTGAGGCGCACTGCGCACTGATGCTCGGTGCCGAGTCTGACCACTACCTTGCTAAGCAAGCGCACACTCCATTAGCAATGCTGGAAGCCGAATACCACTTTCTTTAATTCTTTTGGGACGGAAGGACACGCAAATGTGACACTTCTCCAAAAGATGCTCTTCACCTAGGCAAGGAAGGCAGTCAGCATGCAGATTACTGACTGGCATAGGCCTGCAGGTGCAGGCTTTGAAGCCAGGGTAACAGGGCATGTCCCATCCCTAAGGCAAAGTCTTTAGGAAGAATCAAAAAGTCTACAAACTATTTACAGGTACTTAATGAAGGAGATAACCATCTGTGAAACAAGAGGATTAAGGGAAGTGCTAGGTACAGCTAAGGCTGGAACACACTGTTCCAAGCAAAGTCAGTAGCAGCATGAAGGAACTGAGGGTATGTCTACACTAGCCCCCTAGTTCGAACTAGGGAGGCTAATGTAGGCATTCGAAGTTGCAAATGAAGCCCGGGATTTAAATATCCCGGGCTTTATTTGCATGTTCCCGTCCGGTCGTCATTTTGAAATTCCACTAGCCCGAAGTACTGCCCGCGGCTACACGCGGCCGTGAAACGGCAATTCGAACCAAGTCCTTAGTTCGAATTAACTGTTACTCCTCCTGGAATGAGGTGTAACAGTTAATTCGAACTAAGGACTTAGTTCGAATTGCCGTTTCACTGCCGCGTGTAGCTGCGGGCAATTACTTCGGGCTAGTGGAATTTCAAAATGACGACCGGACGGGAACATGCAAATAAAGCCCGGGATATTTAAATCCCGGGCTTCATTTGCAACTTCGAATGCCTACATTAGCCTCCCTAGTTCGAACTAGGGGGCTAGTGTAGACATACCCTGAGAGAGAGATGGGCCAGAGAGTGTCTTATATAGTGTGGCATGTACACCCCACTCCAGGGACACTGGGACCCTGGCCCCTAAGGGTACTGCTCAGGGAAAAGCTTCCAACACCGGTGCATGTGGCAGGCACACACACCTATGTTGAACGGACATGAGCAAGCACTAGAAGAACAGATGCATCTGGGGTGTCCAACAATCTGCTACTCAGAGAATACCATATGGGGCAGTGGGTTCTGATTTTTTTATCTGAGAGATGGTGCTAGAACCAGTACTGATCGGTAATTCTTCCGATGTGCCTTTCTGGCTTAACAGGTTTGAGGGGACCTAATTCCTCAAGACCTGCATGCGAGGACTCACTCAACTTCAATCAAGATGGGGAGGGGATATTTTTTCTTAAAGGTAGGCCTGGATTGGGATCTATCATTATACCCATGGCCATGTTCCTGCTCTTGTGAGAGGGTCTGTTAGGCTTAAGTGTTTTGTTTGATCTCTACTCCAGACCATTCACCCAAAGGAGCAATGCTTGCGATCTGAGACCACTATGTAGGTAGGACTCCCAAGATTAAATCTGAGTGAGGCCTCATGGCCTACTCCATGAGAACATAAGAACAGCCATACTGGGTCAGACCAAAGGTCCATCTAGCCCAGTATCCTGTTTTGCAATAGTGGCCAATGCCAGATGCCTAAGAGGGAGTGAACAGAACAGGGAATCTTCAAGCAATCCCTCTCCCATCATCTATTTCCAGCCTCTGAAAGAGGCTAGGGACACTATCCCTACCCATTCTGGTTAACAGCCATTGATAGACCTAACCTCATGAATTTATCTAGCTCTTTTTTGAACCCTGTTCAAGTCCTGGTCTTCACAACATCTTCTGGCAAGGAGTTCCACAAGTTGACTGAGCGCTGCATGAAGAAAAACTTCCTTTTGTTTGTTTTAAATCTGCTACCTATTAATTTCATTTGGTGACTCCTAGTTCTTATGTTACGGGAAGAAGTACATAACTTTTCCTTATTCACTTTTTCCACACCAGTCATGATTTTGCAGACCTCTATCATCTTCTCCCTTAGTCTCCTCTTTTCTAAGCTGAAAAGTACCAGTCTTTTTAATCTCTCTTCATATGCGATCCATCCCAAACTCCTAATAATTTTTTTTTGCTGCTCTTTTCTGAAGCTTTTCCAATACCAATGTATCTTTTTTGAGACGAGATGACCACATTTGTACACAGTATTCAAGATGTGGACGTACCATGGATTTATATAGCGACAATATGATATTCTCTGTTTTATTCTCTATCCCTTTTTTAATGATTCCTAACATTCTGTTTGCTTTTTTGACTGCTGCTATACATTGAGTGGATGTTTTCAGAGAACTATCCACTCAGTGAGGGATTCCCCCAGACCCGTGGTCACCAACCAGTAGATTGCGAGCTACCGGTAGATCTCAGGGGCTCTAAGAGTAGCTCTTGAGCCCTCTCTGAACTGTGCACCTGCGCAGTACATTTACATTAGATTTCCTCATGTAATGTAGGCGGGGCTTCAAGGAAGGGGCGGGGCAGTAGATCTTTGCCTGTTCTGAGACTTAAAAAGTGATCTTGGGTGTAAAAAGGTTGGAGACCACTGCCCCAAACAGAGCAATCTACAATTACAAATTCAAGGAAGGAAGGAGTGACAGAAGCTGCACTTGGTGGCAATGTGAGCCTCCTTAAGGCATTAAAAGGCAACCCTGCTGATGACTGTCAATGGAAAAGAATATGGAAAGGAGATAAAAGTTCTTTAAATCCTAGGACTCTTGGTATAGTCCTCCACAAGGAGATTAGACAGTAAATAGGAATAGAATTGCAAAGGCGTTGGACCACACCACTCATTATGCCCTCAATTTGAAGAATAAGAACAATTGAACATCCATGGAACAACAGACAATACTTGCTACAAATCTCTGGTATCAGGGCCCTGGGGTATATGTCCATCCACAAATGGGATACAGAGATGAGAACTCAAACAACAGATATTTCATTTTTCCAAATTTGCCACAGAAAATACTTACCATTTTCTGATCAGCTTTACTAATAATAAATAGTAAATCATCACTAAATACACTAAATAATTCAAACTTATGGCTAATACCATTTCTGAGCAGATTCCTGGAGACTTACCCACATTCTCTGAGTGATGTCCAGAATGCACACAAACACAAATCTTTCATGGTACATTAAAATACTCGTGTTCTCATTATTCCATTTTATAGTATGCCTATAACTGTTTCTGCCACAATAACCTATAAATTAATTGTCTACAATTATTTTATCTAGTTACAGCAAGCATATAATATTCTTTCCCTGAATACCACCCAATAGTTATTAACTAGGAATAATTCTTCTTCTATCCTTTTATTCTTGCTGAGTCTTTTTAGAGGAAAAAAAGCTTTAACTTGTTCAAACATTTCCACATACAAGTCTCAGTATGGAACCTGGGTAAAAAAGAGTCCAAAACAAATTGAAGTAAACCACTCTTACTATGAAAGATTAGAAGATCATCTATAGAAAGTCCACCAATAAACAGTTGTTAAGGACTACAATGGCAAACGCTTTTTGAAAAGTAAATCCATTAGCCTGCGGCACTGTGTTGCAGGCAATAAGAGGTGAACAAAACAAACAAAATATATATTGGACAATAGGAAGGAAGGTGGATTTTTGATGGGTTAGCATATCTGAAACCCATGTTAATATACTATGATACTGTGTAGTCAGTGATCAGTAAATCTTATAAGAAAACCAGCTGACCAGAATTAAGTCTACGTTGTAACCACGTAGTAATAAATCTGAGTAGGTGGCCTCCTTACTTGTCTAGTAGCGAAGTTTTGGGGGTTGAGCCCTGAGCCGATTGCCCCAAGGCTGACGTTGGGTAATGTGGAACCAGAGGGAGAGAGCTTGTAGCTGGGAGAAGGGGAGAAGGGAGAGCAGGGAGCCTCATCCCCAAGGCACCCATCTTGATTGGAGAAAGGCAAAGTCAGCTGAAGCAGTAGTTAGCCAATCAGCAGGAGATGGTTAGTGAAGCAACAGAATGCAAAAGGAAAAAAAGAAGGACTGTGAGAGATCAGGTATAAGCAAAGGTAATTTGTAATAGCAATTACAAGGGCAAACTTCTGAATAAATTTAACAGCTGATGTTTGGAGATTTTTTTGTGAAGGAGCCATGGTCAGTAAGTTTTGTAGAGGTAAAGGTACTTTAAAAAAATCTCTTAAATACACAGAAAATGTATTCCTTTGCTAATTTTGTCCTTCTCTGACAGTGATTATTTCCACAGCAGAAGGTACAGCTAGAATTAGAATGAGTTCATATTATTTATTACTATTTAGGGATGTCAATGGGTAACCAGTTACCTGATCAGCATCACCCTTACCAAGTGATGCTTACTGGGAAATGGTTAATTGGAACCTGGGAGCAGTCCTCCCCCCACACCATGTGCAGTTCACTGCTAGTGGAGGGCTGCTCCATCCCTGCTGGGCTCCCTACTGCGTGGGGCTGGGAGTCAGATGCCCCAAGCCAGTAGCCCTCCTAATACATGGGGCCAGGAGTCAGCAGTGCAACAGGCTGCTCCAGCTGGGCTGGAGTGGTCTCCAGCCTGGGATCCCGTTTAATTGGTTAACTGATTAAGCAGGATTTTACATCCCAACTTCTATTTGCATATACCAATTTCTGTCCACAGTATGCACCTTTGCAAATGGTGTCTGTTAATTAGGCCAGCAAAGAAGAGTTCATAAATTTGTTTGATCTGTTACCACAAAATGGAGTAGTTTAAAAATAAATGATTTAATTGGACAGAGAACGCCTACAACATTTATATAACAATATTTTATCTGTTTTACATTTTATTGAATCAAACTAACTGAATTTAAAATAAACATTTTAAATCCAGGGGACCCTCTCCAATCATAATTTAAAGCAATTAATATTTAAAATCCAAAAAGCTTGACATTGCCCATTTAAAATTGGTAAAGAAAAAAAAGAGATACTACTGCAACATACAATAAATGGAAAAATATGGCACATGGGACAGCCTAATCTAGAGAGGATGCTTCAGATAACTTGCAGACATGAAAGCAGAAAGAAAAAGTCTTCCAAGACTATGATTTTGTCTGTTTACATTTAAATTTAGTTTTAGGGTACAGGAGCATAGTCAGTAGCCAAGCAGAAACAACCATTGTGATGCCCTCTTCACTGAATTTTGTTTGTACCTGTTCAAAATGAACTTCTCCTTCCTCAGCAAAAGACTGAAGAAGTACTTACTCATTTTCTAGAGCTATATTTATTACGCAGGACTATGCTAATGTATTCTTACTTATCTTTAGCCACCTTAATTTTTAATTTACATTCACACTATGTATGAATAATTTTCTTATTTCATGTATTATTACATTTTCTTCCATGATTTTGAATTTTTATTACTCTCAAAGGAGTCGATCCAAAAAATTGAGACCTCATGTAAATGCAATGGAGGATTCTGTTTAACCATATGTATTTATCTCACCTTCTCAAAATAAGGCCCACTATCTGTGGTTCCCATGTCTTTGGAATTAGGAGGACGGAACCCAGATCGATCCTTTCTCATTATATCATTAAAATCCCCGAGGTTCATGGTTCGTTTGTCCACCTCAAATTTCTTATCTGGGAGACTACCTATAAGAGGGAAGGAAGAAGGTGAATATCAGTGTTAACAACCACAATCATATCTGTTGTTTTCAATTGATTCACAGCTTAAAATGGCTTGAAAATACCTCTAAAATGCTAGAAATAGTATGAGGCCAGGGATTTATCTTATAATGTAGCATTACAGCTCCTGATAAAAGATGTTGAACACCCTCCCCACCCCAGCAATTAAGTTTTATTGTAAGATTAAACAATCCAGTTTGCTTAAAAAACATTTATAAGTAAAATCTAAACTATTAATTTCAATTATAACAGAATACAAAGTGCACAGTGCTCAATTTATATTTTTTATTAAATATTTGCACTGTGAAAAAACCCCAAAAGAAATAGTATTTTTCAATTCACCTAACACAGGTATTGTTAGTGCCATCTCTATCATGAAAAGTCAAACTTATAATTGTAGAATTATGTACAAAAATAACTGCATTGAAAATAATGTAAAACTTTAGAGCCTACATGTCCATTCATTCCTAGTTCAGTCTGTCGCTCAGAGAAACAATTTTTTTACATTTGGAGGAAATAAAGCTGCCTGCTTCTTGTTAACAGTGTCACCTGAAAGTGAGAACAGGTGTTTACATGACACTTTTGTAACCAGCACTGTAAAGTATTTATGTGCCAGATATGCTAAACATGTGTATGACTCTTCATGCTTTGGCCACCAATCTAGAGAACATGCTTCCATTCTAATGACACTCGTTAAAAAAGTGTCAATTAAATCTGTGACTGAACTCCTTTGGGGAGAATTATATGTTCTCAGTTCCCTTTTACCCACATTTAGACATATATTTCATGTTATAACAGTCTCGGGTGATGACCTACACTTAAAAATACTTTCACAGCAGATTTGACAAATTGCAAAGAAGGTACAAATGTGAGATTTCTAAAAATAGCTACAGCACTCAATCCAAGATTTAAGAATATGAAATGCCTTCCAAAAGTTGAGAGGAATGAGGTGTGAAATATGGTTTCAGAAATCTTAAAAAGAGCAACACTCCAATGCAGAAATTACTAAATTCGAACTACAAAAAAGAAAATTATTTTTGTGCGCTGGTGGCATCTGACTGAGACGATGAAAATGAACATGACTTGGTCTGCACTGCTCTGGGTCATTATCGAGCAGAATTGTCATCAGCATGGACACAGCCTCTGAATGGTGGCTGAAGCATGAAGGGACATATGAACATCTGACATGTAAATATTTTGCAATGCCAGGTACAATAAAGCCATGTAAATGCTTGTTCTCACATTCAGGCGACATGTAAACAAGAAGCAGGCAGCCTTAGCGAAGGGCTGACCAAAAAGTAGGACTGAATGGACTTAAAAGCTTTATATTTTTACATTGTTTTGTTTGAGGCCAATTACATATAACAAAAAAACCCCACCCCTACATCTGTAAATTGCGCTTTCAAAATAAAGAGATTTCACTACAGTACTTATATGAAATTAACTGCAAAATACTATTTTATCATTTTACAGTGCAAATAGTAATCAAAATAAAATAAAGTGAGCACGGCACACAGTTTTCTTTATTGTAATTGAAATCAATATATTTGAAAACATGAAAAAAGCAAAAATATTTAATAAGTTTCAATCAGTATTCTATTGTTTAATAGTGCCATTAATAAAAAAATGTGATTATTGTTGTACTATTACTTGGGCTAGAGGAGATTAATCAACAGTACTAATTAAAATTCAAAATGATCTAAATAAACTGGAGAAATGATCTGAAGTTAACAGAAAGAAATTCAGAAAGGATAATTATAAAGTATTCCATTTAGAAAGGTGTCATCAGTAGAGCCTTAGGTGGAAAGACAATTTGTATCCGCATTCCGATCTGTATCCGCAAAAGTAAGACTGCAGATATCCGCATTGATATCTATGGATGCCTGCGGATATCCACAAATTTGCAGAATTCTAGATACAAATTTTGTATCTTCACCTATATCCTCAATAATGAGTGGTGGATACCTGCATATATAGAGCAGATATCCGTGGACCTGCAAGATTTTAATAATCAGTTACATACATACAAAATGGAAAAGAATTGCGTAGGAAGGAGTACTACAGAAAGGGGTCAGGCAATCAGAGAATCATAAGCTAAATTTGAGTCAACAGTATAATCCACCTCCCCCCCTAAAAAAAACAAACAAAAAAAAACAACCCAAACATCATTCTGTAGTGTATTGTCAGGAGTGTTTTAATCAAGACATGAGAAGTAAGTCTTCTGCTCTACTCTGCACTGACTAGACTTCTATCCAGTTCTCGATGCCACATTTCAGACAAGATGTGGACAAATTGAAGAAAGTCCAGAGAAGATCAACAAAAATGATTAAATATCTAGAAAACAACCTATGACAAAAATTTGAAAAAAATGGGTCTGCTTAGTCTGGAGAAAGAGACAGAGGGAACGTAATAGAGTTTTCAAATATATAAAAGGCTGTTACAAGAAGGAGGGAAAACAAATATTTTCCTTAATCTCGAGGATAGGACCAAAAACACTGGGCTTAAAATGGAGCAAGGATACTTTAGGTTGGATATTAGGAAAAACTTCCTTACTGTCAGGGTAGTTAAGCACTAGAATAAATTGCCTAGGGAGGCTGTGAAATCTTAACCACCGAAGATTTTTAAGAGTAAACAACTGCCAAAATAACACTGTTATACAATGAGTTCAGGGGACTAGATGAGCTTGAGTTCCCTTCCAATCCTACCATACAAACAGGAAAAGAATAATTACTTTACAGTAACTGTGGTTCTTCAAGATGTTTTGTTCTCATGGAACTCACTCCAAGTGCCCCGGCATGCCAGATTAGTTTATTTTGGTAAGCAGTGTCCATTGGAGCTGACTGTGCATGCAGTATGTCATTGAGTCCCGCTTCCTAGAGCATGATGGCCCCAATCATCATTCAATTCCTTCACCGACATAGAATTCCGAAGGCTAACAGATTCTACATCAGTGGGGAAGGAGGGCGTGTCATAGGCTCCATGTAGACATCTTGAAAAAGGCACAGTTAACTATACTCTCCCTTTAAATACTTATCCACATGGATACCATTCTAGTTTACTGGCAAATAGCTGTTTCTCTAAGGTAGTGGGTGCCAGGAATCCTATTAATAAGTACTGTTTGACTGGCTTGGCAAACTATGCATCAGATTGAGAAGATGATACTAAAGCAGTGGTGGGCAATAATTTTTGAAAGGGGGGCCACTTCATGAATTTCAGAAGTGGTTGTGGGCTACCCCAAAAGGGGCGGGCCCCATGGCAAGAAGGGGTGGGACAAGAAGACTTTGCGTGCTCCCCCACCCACAGACCCTGATTGGCTTGAGCACAGAGGAGCATGTGAAGTCTTTGCCCCCTGCCTCCACCATGCTATGAGGTGCACGCTGCTTAGAGAGAACCACCTGCTATTTTGAATAGCTGGCGGTTCCCTCTGGTGCCATGCGCCCCTGGTGGGGCGAGGGAATTTAGTAAGCTCCCCCATTGCCAGATCTCCATTGACTGGGGGTAGGTGAACAGCAGCATGGTTGCAGGCCGGATCAAAGGGCTCAGCAGGCCAGATCGGGTCTGCGGAGGCTGTCTTGCCCACCCTCTGGAATACAGAGTCTAAGAGGGGGTCATAACCTGGGGCAGGAGTGCAGGAAGGGGTACAGGTATTTGGGCTGTGACCAAAGATATCAGATTGGGGTGCAGTGTATGGGATAGAGATGTTAAGTAGTGTTTACTTAATCGAGTAGTCGATAAGAGGACGGCACTCACTACCCCTTCCTCAGTTTCTAGGAAGGTGTATGGGGGCTGGAACAGGGATGCAGAAGGCTTGGGTTACATGAAGTAGGGATGGGAGCGGGGGGAAGGGTTGGGGAAGGGAGAGGTTGGTGCCAGAAGCAGGCTTTGGCTGGGAGGTCTTACCTGGGTGGCTCCCAGCCAGCAGCCCAGCAGGTTCCTTAACCAGGATTCCTGCCTTCCATGCCCCTGTACTGCTCACAGTAGGTATAGGGGCCATGTTTGCAACTGCATTCACTGTAAGTCTGGGAATGAGGGAAGAGTGGCACCACATGCTGCCTGTTCTGCAAACAGGCAGTTGCTATTGGCCAAAAATTGGACAAAGAGAGCTCCTGGGGGAGGGAGCAACATGAGAACCCTCTGCCTTTGCCCCTGGAGCTCTCAGCATTCACAGAAGCACATGGCCCTGCAGCACCAGGCTTCACTGAGTGCTGAGCGGGAGTAAGGCAGGTTGGGAACTGGCTGAGGCTCTTGTGCGCTGGATCTGGCATCTTGGTGGGCCGGAATTAGCCCACTGAATGTATTTTGCCCAGCCCTGCAGTAAAGAATAAGGCTTCTAAAGATTGGTATGGAGCTCCAAGAAGCAGCTCTATAGATTTCAAATATAGATGTGCTTCTTAATAAAGGCCAAAAAGGATGCCTGAGCTCTACTAAAACATGAGCGTGCCCAGGGTGAGCTGGGGTGAGCGTGCGCTGGGCGAGCGTGCACAGGACTAGCTGGGGCTAGATGGAGCTTGGTCCTGCCTTGAGGGCGGGGGGCTGGACTCGATGACCTCTTGAGGTCCCTTCCAGTCCTATGATTCTATGATTCCTTGGGCTTTCAAGATATCAATATTCATTTACTCAGTTCTATAAGAAATTCTAATGCAGTCTGACACCCATTTCAAGTCTCTTTTTTGAAACAGCCTGTCTTCTAGATTAGTTACCAAAAGATACAAATAGTCTTGGGTAATTTTCAGAATGATTTTGTAGTGCTGAGGCAACACAAAGTAATTCTTAAAAACACTGAAAATGTGGAGCTCAGCCTCTAAAGGGGATGAATGAGATCTTGGAAAGAGCACTCATAAATGAATTAAATGATTTAAGTAAAAAGTCTAGGACCACTTTAGGCAGAAATTTATGATGATGAAAGATAACTAACCTATGGAAGGCAGTATAAGATAGTTCTGACATCAGTGTTTAGATTTCTCTCA